GGTCCTTTTTACCCCACCCACGTGTAAGTTTTTATAGAGGTAATCTAAAAAACTGTTAAAATTAAAAATTAACTATACCAATTATTTATATTAAGGTCTTGTTAACTAAACAGTGCTCACAACAAAAAAAAACTAACAACGAAAGAAAATACTTTTGTTATGGTTTTGCAAACATTGCCGTTTATTTCTCGATAGCAAGAATCAATGTGATGGTTGGTTATACATTTTTTTATCTTTACTTTCAAATAATATAGTAGTGGACCTTTTTACCCTATATATATATTAGGGTGGTCCTTAATGTAGACATTTTCGAATTTTATTGCTCCCAGGGGCTTAAATGCTTCCAAATTGATAAAACAAATCTCTAAAAGTTTTAACTCTTAATATTAACTTTTAGATAGTGCGCAATTCATTCAAAGCTTCATATGGAAATTGGATGGAAAAAATTCGAAAATTTTAATGTTTTTTAGGTATAACTTAGCGACAAATAAATTAAAAAGTGACAATTCGTGCCATCTTTTATTGAAAATTCGACGCTCTGCGAAACAGGTTTTTTATAATTTATTTTGTAGAGCGTCGAATTTTTATTAAAACTCATTCATTTGTTCACTAAGTTATATCTAAAAAACATTTTTAAGATTTTTGAAAATTTTTCCATGCTATTTCCGTACAAAACTTTCATTGAATTGCGCACTATCTAATACACAATATTAAGAGCTAAACTTACAGAGGATTTTTTTTTTTATCAATTTGGAAGCATTTGGAAATTCGAAAATGTCCATATTAAGGACTACCCTAATATATATATATATATATATATATATATATATATTAGGGTAGTCCTTAATATATATATATAGATATATATATTGTATAGATATATAGAGATATAGATATAGAGGGATAGAATGAGAGAGATATAGATAGAGAGATATATAGATATATAATAATCTATATATATATATATATATATATATATATATATTTGTATATATATATATATATATATATATATATATATATATATTTATATATATATATATATATATATATATATATATATATATATTTGAATGGTCTTGAATTTGATGTTGATATATATGTTTAATTTGAGTTTAAATTCAGGCGTAACATCAATAAAAAAAGTATGAGTTTTTTTTTTAAGTTTATTTATTTAAAATCCATACGTTTAGCCATCATTCAGTGGTAATCAAATTAACTATAAAAATTGAAACTAAATAAATTATATGTAAGAAATTTCATGGACAAACAATAATAATAATAATAAAACACTTACAATTTTGTATTCTAATATAACATATGAAACCATTATTAATAAATGATAATAATTAATAATGGTTACATATGCTATATTAGGATACAAAATTGTGTTTTATTATTATTGTTTGTCCATTTCTTACATATAATTTATTTAGTTTCAATTTTTATAGTTAATTTGATTACCACTGAATGATGGCTAAGATGCTAGCCGAAACGTATGGATTTTAAATAAATAAACTTTTAAAACAAAAAAAAACTCTCATACTATTTTTATTGATGTTACGCCCGAATTTGAACTCAAATTAAACATATATATATATATGTATATATATATATATATATATATATATATAATGTGTGTGTGTATATTTTGTCATTCTCGTTCTGAAAATAATTTCAAAACTGTGCATTATATGAATTCAGTATATTTATAGAGGCAGATCGTCGTATCTATCTAAATATACGTCGGTAAGCCTACTGTCAACCCTTTTCTCTTGAGTGAAAGTTTTCCTTAAGAGGTCTAAAATTTTCCAACCCCTGTTCGTCAATCGATTGCGCTTGCGTATTTTCTTTCTCGGCCACCTAACGCGCCCCGACCGATCTCTTCGCTCCGGTGACTACGTATCTCTATTTGACCCACCTGATGGAACTCATCCAGCGCTCGACGGCCCCGAACGCTTGGTTCCGACGATCGTTCATACTATGCCTTCAGTGTACATTTAGCCGTCCCGTAGTGTGCTTGCGTTGTTTTTCATTTTGATGGGGAAAATGTGGAAATATTCTGATCAGTGGAAATACTGTGATTATATATATACTAGAGATTAGTGAATTGTTTTAAGGCTAAACTGAATAAAGTAAAAAGTGATTATTTTTAAAATTAGTTTTATCGCTATAAGAGGGTGTGTTTTACGAATATAACCTTTTCTCGGTTATCTAGATGCTTCTATTACTATTGGTTAGATTTTGTATGTCGAGTTCCCAAAATCTAATCTGTAATAATTGATTGTTGCAAGTTTATAATATATTGTTAGAGTTTTTTAAAGTATCACTTCTGTTTTATTTTATTATTATTATTATTTGTGAATATCTATACTGAAATTTTATTTTAATTTGAAATGAATCTTTGTCAAAAATACTTTAGCAGACGACAACCCATTTACAGCTAAATTGTTCTTAAAAGTGTTAGCCGCAATTGACTAAGGCCTATGTTTAAACTACTATAGGAATATTCAGTCTTTTTTTTAATATTTTGTCTCTTATTTATATAATATATATATATATATATATATAATATTTATTTTTTTTTAAACATTTAGTACGTTGAATATTTCATTTTCTACTAAAAATTAATTTAAATTTACTAAATTAAAACATTTTACTGCGTAACGTGGAAAAGAACTTGATTTTAGTAAATTTTCCTTTATTTATACAGATTGTCATTGCTTAACATAAGCAAATCATTTAATTAAACATGTGTTTATTGTACAAGACAAAGATAGGCTTATCAGTACTTTTTATTTTCTTTTAATTATTATTAAAACTTTCCTGCTCTTATTGTTATATAAGATTAAATTAATTTTTCGCTGTTCGAATGCGACTCGGGAATTTTTATTTGTATTTTGCCAATGCACATAATTAGATGTTCTATTTGCATGAGCGTGGGTATACATTATATAATGTATTACTAATTATTGAGCTCATGACAGAATTTATTTTAATCTGAGTATTATCTCTAATCCGACGTTATCTTTATTTACTCAAATTAACATCAGAGTACTTTCTTAATTTTATGTTTTTAGTAGCTTATTGTCAAATACCTCCAGATGATTCATTCACAGCAATTTCATAGACAGACATGAATTTTGCATAGGAAAACTTAATAAAATTAGCTATTGGATGTTTTACTCGATAATTAGTGCTGAAGGTTCAACTTCAATCATTTTGAAATATCAGATAATAAGTAAATTAGCTAAAATCAATTTACCAGGCAATGACGCGAATTTAATGTAATTAACATTTGATAGACAGGAAAGTTTATATATATATATATATATATATATATATATATATATATATAATTATACTCACTGGAGTTCTTATTTGGAAGAAAGTCAAACTATATAGACCGTATCATAGCCTTAATTATAGTTTTATTGTAATGCTAGTCTTATTTGTTCTGGTGAAATGATGTCAAAATATTTATTATTATTTTATTTGGAGCATAAGTAGACATATCTGTATATTATTTACTTATTTATAATACATGTTTTTTCTTTGAGAACATACCAGAATGTAATTTTATTCATTGCTATTAGAATTAACAAAACAACAAAATATATTGTGAACTTGCTTGTTTTGAAAAATGATTCGAAAGTATTTTTAATTTAATGTAAATTCATAGAATTATTTTACTAATTTAAAGAAATGCCAAATTAAAAAGTATTGTTATCGAAAATTCTTCAGATTGACTTTTTCGCTATTTTTTGCGAATTTTTATTGGTTTATTTGCTCATTTTTTATTTCTAGTATCTTTTTCATTTCAATGCGGAGTTGCTTTTTATTAGCATCAATAAAATGCCCTTTAAATTGAATTAGCACTTTTCAAGTTGTTGACGCATTTGTCGTAGACGATTTATTGAGTTGATTCTAGTTGTCATAGCAATAGACTAGTAAATAGTTCAATTTATCTATTTCAAATGTGAGCTTTACCTATGATTTTTCCATATATATATATATATATATATATATATATATATATATATAAGACTTAAATTTTTTGTTTGCCGTTGTGAGACATATTCTTCATGTTTATTTGCATTCAATCATCGAAATAAAAGAACAAATAAATAATGAACTATTTATTTATACGTTTCGACACACGGTATATGTGTCATTATGTAATGTAAACAAATATAAAAGAAAACTGTGCTGTTCATGTTTGATTACATTGTCTTACAATGAGATCATCTTAAAGGCGAATTTGCGGCACTAGTTATTTATAATCTGTAATGTAAAATATCGTAAAATATCTTTAATAATTTTTAAATTTAATTACTCTTAAGTTACTTAAATGTTTAGCTAATACTTTATTTCATTTTATAATAATTATTAGTTCTTTATTATAATTGTTTGCCAACCGTTTTCTCATTTAAAATTATTTGTTTAAATAATTGGCATAGCTAAAGTGTTAAAATTAACACGAAAAATTAAACGTCTAAAAATAAATGATCAAATAAATTAAAACTGTTGATTGTATTCGGACTCACATTATCCACAATTTTATATAATTATAATTCTGTTTCTCTATCGTTACATTTATTTTTTTCACAATTGAATTTATATATCTAAAATTTATAAACTTGCAATATATCATTTTTTAATAATATATTCATTTGCAGCATACTAAAAAATCCTTTGTGGTGAGATTAAAACAAATTTATATCGTTATTGAAACTAAGATTTTCAAAATATAATAAAATTTATAATAAAGTGAATTGTGTTAAAGCATGTTATAAATCCAGTGATTAAATTTTTCCGTCCACAAATTTTCCTAGTTTTTTTTTCGCAAAATCTGATAATTAGTGACATATGAAGGGTGCTTAATGGTGACGTAGAATTCCAAAGCGAAGAGGTTCATCATTGCATGGCATTCCCCGCATCATGTCAGATGCCGCGTGCAGAAGTGCTAGCTCATTTAGCACGATCATTCCGCGGTCGCCATGCCGGCCGCCCTTTCGACGGCAGCCCGTCCACGGAAATGGCGTCGCACGCACGGTCTGCAGCTGCCGCTGCATCCCCTTCAACTTGCCGGATGGTTTGCTATTCTGTTATCAGCGCTCGCAACATTTCTGGTGTTGATACCCGCACTGTCGACAGAAATCCGACAGCCCATATCGGCCTTAGTATCGATACTTTTTGCCACTCATGCAGTGTCGCATTTAGCAGCGTTGCTGATTGACCCCGCGGATCCCGGTTTACGAAGAAAGGAGAACAGGCAACGCAGGCAAAGAGTTCCCGATTTTGATCGGGAAAAATACGCCCACGTCATTGAAGACGGCAGATGCCATCTATGTGAAATCAGGACGGCAGATGCGCGAACTAAGCACTGTAGCTCCTGCAACAAGTGCGTCGCGAAATTTGACCACCATTGCAAATGGTTGAATCATTGCGTGGGCGGCAAGAACTACACGGCATTCCTCGCGTGCGTCTTAAGCGCCATGATGACAGCTGTTGTGGTGCTCGGCATAGCGCTCGCGGAGCTAGTGGTCAAGTTACAATCACAGCAAACCACCGATGATTTTAACTCAACCGAAGCAGTGATCAACTTCACATCAGCCACCATAAATCAAAGTGAAGAAATTATTGATATACCAGATACCGGCTTCGTACTTATTGTTGCTACGTTGGGACTATTGGCAGCAGTTGCTGCTGGATTACTGCTTCACCTCTGCTGCTTTCACGTGTACATCTCACTTCTTGGACTGACAACTTACGAATATGTCAGAGGTTACAGGCGTGAAACTCCTGAAGTTCCAACACCAACACCCGAAAGTACTGCTAGCAGCTTGACATCAACTAACCAGACAACGACAAAGTTATATTTTTGTACTGGAGACAAAGTTGCCGATAATGGAACTGAAATTCGCAGGCGCCCGTCCACTTTATATTGCTGCGAAGAAACTACTACGTTAGAATACAGGCGGAAAATGTTTTACGTTTGCCAAGTGAAGAACACACCAAATGATGCACCAATTGTTCAAAACGCTGTACTACAAGACACTGCGGCTACTGCGACGGCCGACCGGTGTTCTTGTTGCACTATCGCCAACACGAAGCATTCTCCTCCTAGTCTGAAATCTATTGGCAAACACCATAGATGGCGGCGAAAATGGACCTGTTGTGGAACTTTGACTACCAGTCCGGAAACGCCTGATGATGCGGGAGTTACTATATCTACAATTACCGGTTCTCTAGTAACTATGAATAATGACGAACCAGGAATAGGTTTGCAACAAAACGGTGTGCCAAGAAAATCGATACGTCCTGCGATAAGACTGAGGCATTTCTTTAGAATAGTTAGCAGATTTGGAAGAAAAAGAAGAAGATTGGGAAAAGGTGTTGTTGTAATGCCTAATCAGGTTGAACCTGAAATAATAACAGAGCCTGTTGTTGAGGAACCAGAGGATGTAAATCCTCCGGAATCGATTCTACCTGCTCTGATGACGGGATCACCACCAGCGCCTCCGCCTCCTGTTAGAAGAAGACTGGCAGATCCAGATGAACTGCAACGATTAGCGGAGACTTTGGCATCAATTCAATTGCCACCAGCGACAGCTGTTCAGCTTCAGCAGCGCAGAAAGGTGAGAAGAAAGAGGCCGCTACTTCAGGCTAGAAGTCCAGCGTTGTCACCAATTCATGAGTCTGGGCTGTCGAATCCTGCTTCACCACAAACAAGCAGACACTATTTACCACCAATATAGTTACTTGAATTTGCTCTTCGAAATATAAATTATTAGATCTTATGTTAATCTAATTTGATCACTCATTTAACTTTCCAACAAAATTGCTAGTATTTAGTACATTCCGTACCCTATTTTCAATATTAACATTTCAATTCTTCAACATTAACAATTCAATTTTAAACGCATTAAGATAATTAATATTGAAAAAATTCTATCTTACAATTAGTTATAAATATTAGATCCTGCCATAAGAGTTTTCAATAATGAAGATTTTATTTTTGTAATGCTAACCATATATTTTATATTGCTATCATTGGACAGCTTAAACACAAGTGAAATTATTAAGTAGCACCAGTATATACGGCTTTTTTAATTCTACAAACTTAACATAATTATCTCTCCGGATAATTATCTCTCCGGATAATAGAAAAACTGCAGAGAAGTAGTTAATCAAATCTTTTTGTAATGCATGGTCGCACATTTGCTTATTGTGTATGAGAGTATCAATTCACTTCAAATGCGTAATGTTAGTCAAGATGTATTATATATCATTAATTATTTTATGTTTTTAGTTTTCTCAAATTGGTCATAATTGGTTATAATTTTCAACATACTTTAAGATTTGTAGTTAGTTGCGATATTTACTTTCGATCATGCTTTTAATATATGAAATTACATTCATATTAATGCGCATTTTCTCTTGCCTATATGGATACAGCAGAATTTAGTGAATTATTCTTATTTGATTTTTACATATGGAATTAAAGATAACTTGAAATCTCTGCTATTTGTAAGGCAAGCATTAACAATTCACATTTTGCTATGAAATATACCGTGATGTCAATTTTAAATTTGCCTTTTTTGCCGTCCATGTTTCATAGCTTATTAGATACAGTAAGCCCTTTGGTTATACTCATTTTTCAAATTTCTCACTTTTTCACATATTTTAAAACAACCATACAGTAACATGAGATTCCGTCATTTATTTGATTGATTATTCAATATTAAAATAAGAAATGTGTATTGAATTTTTATCAAAACCATTTTCTGTCCGATTGAAGTGCCAAATATTGTGAAATTGTAGATGGTATTACGAAAAAGTGTGATTGAAATCATATTGAAAATGTGGTATATTGCTTTATTGAATGGTCTTGCCAGTAGATATTGTTTATTATAAAATAACAATAACATTAATTGTAATTAGAGAAACTGAAAATAATAGATTATAAATAACTGAAAATTGTTCGTCAGATAGAAAAAAAAACACAAAAATATTACGTGTGAGTCTGATTGGAAATCACTTAGCACTATTAATATTGTTTACGTTTTATTATGAAAGACCTTTGAATGTTTAAAAACAAAATTTAATTTTTTGCTACACATCATGCATTGAATAGTGTGTGTGAAGATCATTGATCACCCGATGTTTATTTTCAACCAATAAATGGATGTGTTTATAACTGAATGAATTCTGATGTCCGGTGGATTCATCCAAATTCCATATATATATATATATATATATATATATATATATATATATATACATATATACATATATGTCAAGATCGAATCTCTATTTTTTGTTTTGATCATAAAAAGTTAATACTATTTAATGACAACTAAGTGATTTCTAATCAAACGCACAAGTAAATAATTTTTACTTTTTAATCTCAACATCTTCAAACCATTTTTATTCTTGTAACTTCTTATTCTTGTTCATTATTTATTTTACTTCGTTGTATTTTTTATTAATAAAAACAATGTTTTTTTTTCTTTATTTTCATATGCGCAAAGTTTGATGGTACAAACCATATTTCCGAAATGTAATTAAAAAACATTTAGTTTTGATTTCGATCTCTTGTTCCAACTGATTATGTAGTACTGATTTTTTTAAATCTACATTTGTTTAATTTAAAAAGTAATTTACAATATCGAAATTAATTGGGATTATTATTTTTTTTATAATACGTTTTATGATATGAGCAGAACAACAAAAAGGAGTTGAATAGTAACTTATAGCTTTGATTAAAAGTTACAGGATTAGTAAATATAAAAGCAGTCGTTTAAATTAGATATTCAAAAAGCGACTTTTTGCAATTTTCAAAATTTTAGCATATTTGCAAGGCCTGGTTATTGGCTTTCTTATTCAATTTATTTTAAAGGCGCTTTTTCTAATACCATCGGAATTAGATAATTATATATTGGCTAGTTTCGGCCCAAAACGCTGCCATCCAATATTTTAGTGTTATTGGTATGTGTGCAATGATTATTTATTGTAAATAAATATTAATGAAGTTTTGGATAATATTAATGAACTTATTTATATTTATAAGTGTGTGTAAATATTAGCAATGAATATGTGTGCAACGTTTCGTCGTTGTGTCAAATTCATATTGTAATGAGTATAATATTTGTAAGCTGACTCATTATATCGGTAGAAATAGACGGATGAGAAATATTAGCTTTTAACGATAAATAGCATCTTTTGCTTTGAATTTCATTTTTAATCCTGAAAACACAGAAGACCACCAGGTGTTTGATAGACATTTTCCGCATTTTCGCATTATTGTTATCGGTTGTGCTTACATCAATCTTTTATCAACAACCAACGTTTTCAAAACATTCTTTAATTACTATAGATGAAATAAGCCAATTTTTAACCACCTGAAAGTTGAAATTTTTATAAGTACATTTTGATCAATATTTTCTTATTCCGTCTGTTGTCTGTTGAAATGAGTGATTATTATATATTTAAAATGTATTTTTCATATATTTAAATTTTATTCAATTTAAAGTCACATATTTCGTATTAAGTTTATTTAAAGATCGCCAAACCTTTTTGAAATACCGCATACTGCACTCTAACTTATTTAATATTAATTTTTTTTACATATCTATATATAATTTCTATAAAAAGGACTTGATTACGATTTTCAACCTATTATTCAAGTTATATTGAACTCTTTCATATTGAATATATATTCAATGCAATAACGCTTTTAAACATTTTTATTGTAATATTTTTAATATGGCATATGGTTTAATGATACTAGTTTAGTTTAGAGCAAATGTATGTAATAAAATTATTTTTGTAAAAGTGTTCTAACGAACTCATATCCAAATTGCTGTGCAAAATAAAATTTATGTAAAAAATGGCGTGTTACAATATTTGCGATGTTACTTGTTTAAATACAAAAATATTTTTATATGTGAAGCAATATAGAAATGAGTACATATATAACTCAGTAAATCAAATTATATCTGAATTAAATATATCTGAATCTATAAAATAATCTTTTTAAGCTTTTAGAAAATTTCAAAATCAAAATATTATTTCCTGAATGTGTAATGAATTTTTCATTGTGGAAATCTTTAACAATAGTATTAAGAATTTTATCACATTCATTTTAGCCTTTTAGTAGTGGATTTTTTTTAATAATGTTCTGTACGTTTTTCGGGATATTCAACCAACTTATTTGAGAATAGTGAAAAAATTATAATTTTTGAATTATCACATTATTTAGTGTTTTTTTACGTTGTGCAAGTCGAAGGAGTGTGAATTATATACCACATATCTAATCTGTTGATGTTAGTGATAAAATAGGAATATTTTAGTATTTCAACATCTGAATTTAAAGAAGAGAATATTAAATAATTTATAAAAGAATGACTGATATAGTAACGATCGATATCGTGATTGTTTCGAAAACTGGCAGTGATATTTTGTATTACAAATATTTTGGTTTTGACTATCATCATTATGTCTTAATATTTTCACAAGTATAAGTTATTTGTAATTATGCGCTATTTTTACATGTGCCAAAACGACAGTGAAAATTAATGAAAGTTTCATGACAATTAGAAAATAAATATTTAATCTACCATTTTTACTGTTATTCAATTGTTTATATTTAAAACCAGAATATAATTCTTCCTCTTATAAAATTATATTACTGGGTAATATTACCTTTAACTTGTTTCAGGTTCAATAATTAAATGGATAATCTAAGATACTTTTGCTGCACATTCTAAGATCTTACTATATTATGAACGAAGCTGGTATTTTATTAAAAGTTCAATAAAATAAATTAAAGTAGTATGTTAAGTGTTTTTAGACGTTGGTATTTAAATTAATAGTAATTAACCTTGACTTTTTCTATTTTAATATTGGCTAAAAAAGGGATGTCTGTGTACTATAAAATAAAATACCAGCAAGTCAGATTTCAAACCTTCATCAATTTTTTAGAAGTGATGTTGAATTTTTCTCTATTTTATATTAACTATGTACTAATTCATGTCAAAGTATGTGTATATGATTTTTTTTCTACTACCTCTGTAGAGTTAGTCATATCTCACATGGTTTATATAATATCATAAGTACTTCTGTTTTTTTATTTAGTTATTCATTTAGTTTGAAATTTATTCTAACTTCTTTGTTAAATGCAAATTTTATATTAGTTTCCTTTTTTGTTTAAATATAAAATTTACTTTACCTAGTAGATACTTTTTTTCGCTTAGTGTTTTATCTATTTATCTATTCTCTTGAAATTTATCTTGGATATTAAATTCGTATTATTGCACCAGTAAAAATTATTGGAACTTTCGATCAATATATTGAGCGGATTTCATGAAAAAATTATATGGTGTGCGATGCCCATATTTGTGCGATAAAAGTTTGTGAAAACTGACTAACGAAATACAGAGTGTAGTTCCGTTATAATTACATGATGAAAAATTCATTTTTTTATTAATAGATTAATATTAAAAATTAACTTTGAAACAGTTTGCTTGATAATTCAAATGATACTTGGTAAAATACGATTGTACTTTGTTTTAATCTTTTTTACATTTGTTCTAAGGATGTGTGATTGTATTGTTAAATCTGTTTTAAAACTACTTACTGTGAATACTATGTGGTAAAATAAAATCTTCGCAGATAGTTATGAAAACGAAAAATGTATTTGATTCATAATTTTTATTTCAGAACGAAATATTATTAGGTGAAATACGATCGATTT